CTTTGCAAGTACGTCAACTTATTCTACCATACTAGATTCTATCATTCTTGAGCATACTAATACTCTAATGAGAGTTAGTTGGCATGTAGTTGCAGAGTTGCTTATAGTCGATTGATTAAGGGGGCCATCAAAATAAAATGTAACCATATAAAACATTGCATTTTTTTCAGTTGGAGTATTCAGCTCACATCAATTAATTAACATTAGCTCCACAGGAAACACTCAAATAACACTCAACATCTAACCACTCACAAGCTGTAGTAAGATACTGTGCAGATCTTAAATAAACAATGTCAAGATATATAGTCCATTATAAATGTAAAAATAGATTTTATATGGTGTTCATTGTGTGTTATAAATAATCATACTCTTAAACGTATAACCACAAATACGTAAGTATTATGATGTATTATAATTGATGTTATGATTATTCATGAGTTGATATAACATATAAGTTTTTTTATAATGCATTATGCATTCATTATAATGCCTTAAGAATACCCTTATAATGTATTATAAATACGGGCTTCATAGAAAGTGTTACCCTTTTTTTTTTTAAAGCATCCTTGATGAATAGAAGTAATTTCTTTAAAAAAAAATCTAAACTCCTGAACGTGTAGTGTACTGAACGTGCTGACCTGTTAAAACAGGGAGTGTCACTGTGTCTGTATGACTCTAAAGAATAGATGTTATTAGGACCGTGTTGTTCTTTGACATTTTGTCAAGCTGAACCCATTGTTACAACACTTTCTTCAGCCTCATTCAGACCTAAAACCATCAACCAGACGCTGCAGACGAGCAAAATCTTTGTTTTTTTTTCATCATGCAATCAAGCATGTCATACAAATGGGACAAACTCATCAATATTACATCTCCTCTTTGTGTGTCTCTCTCTTTCTCCAGCTGATATATGATGCTGGGGTGTCGTTTACTGTTATCATGTGGATGTGGGCCGGCCTGGCAGCTCTGGTCTTTCTCAACTGTTTCATGAACTGGCCAGCAGAAGGCTTTGCTACACCAGAAGAGATTGAGAAGTTAGTACAAGTCCTGTTAACCTATATAAACCTCAAAGATTACTCTGAAAACAGACATGTAATGTTACTAAAAAACGGCCAGCCTAACCATTACCCTCTTTGAGAGGGAATCACTGAAGCCTTCAGAGCTGGGTAGATTACTTACAAATTATAATCCGTTACAAAAATTGTAGTTAGTAACATAATTTATTACATTACACATTTTAGGTTATATAATTGGACTACTGTTTGATTAGTTTTGACGATACACATTTATCACATTGATTTAAATAAGATCTTGTACCATATTGATATAAAAATACAAAGAGATTGAAAATACATTCCATTCATTGTTATTAACAACATTAAGTGCGCTAAACATTACATTATGTGGAGGTTTCTTAAAAACTGGGGTTCGTTTGTGAGTTTAATGAAAAGCTAATAATTAATTAAATCATAAAAATGTACAATTAAAATAAATATTTTTAAAAATAAAATTAATCAAAATTAAACACTAAAAAAATAAAATATTTTATGTGTTTACCTGCATGTCATGTGTAGGCTATTTTAGAAAGGAACATTTAAAATATGAAAAAGAGGAATTAGGGAGAATCAATAAATTATGAATAATTTATGGCTCTTGTGTGAATTAATAAAGCAATAAGCCCCGTGAAGCCGTGGTTTACAGTGAATGTGGTTCCAACAAAGTGGTTGCCGAGCAACACACAAACGTAAACAAAGGTGTATGTTACTTTGTAGAGTAATTTACAACAGCTTTGAACTTGGCTCAGCCAATCAGAATCAAGGACCGGAACTATCCGTTCTATAAATGTAATCAATAAAAAAGTAACTGTAGTCTGATTATGAGTATTTTAAAATGTAATATAATCTAATTGCAAGTACTTAATTTTTGGAATCTGATTACATGTAATCAGTTACAATCTTGATTTATGAATAATAATTCCTTCCTTTTGTAACCATTTAGTAGGAAAAAGATGCATTCAGCTGAAAACCACAAATTATCTGTTGAAGAGGCGACAGGAGAAATGGAGAAACGGCCAGCTGTAGCTCAGGATGCACAATGTAAGACACCTTGAGACGGAGTGATACATTTTGAGACCGTTTGTTACAGTTGTGTGAACGTGTAGCAGATGATGTGAAATATAACGTACGAACTCCTGGAAATCTGTTTCTCAGCTTCGGTCCCGTTCCAGCGCTCCGTGTTCTCTCCCATCTTTTTGTGGAGCCTGGTCACTATGGGAATGACTCAGCTGAGAATCATCTTCTTTATGGGAGCCATGAACAAGATGGTCGAGTTCCTGGTCACCCACGGAGAGGAGCACCGTAAGCCAAGCTACCAAACCTACACCTTATCACTGTATTCATTAAAGCTGCCTTCTGTTCAGGTGACTTAAAAAGCGTTTCTGTCTTGTTTAGCCTCTGAAGAACTGCTGCAGGAAGCTGAGAATAAAGGTGAGATGAACCTTTCTTAGTCTGATAGTGTCATAAATGTAATTGTGAATGACACCAAGAACGTTTCAGGGCCATATATATATTTAATACTTTTATACAATATGTATTTAAACTTCCAGTGAGCTTCTACTCGTCCGTCTTCGGCACGCTGCAGCTCTTGTGTCTGGTCACCTGTCCTCTGATCGGATACATCATGGACTGGAAGATGAAAGAGTGTGAGGTGGATCAGAAGACGGTGCGCCGGGGAGAAAAAGAGTAAGAAATTAAACTTCCTCTGCTCTCAGAAATAATGTCGCCATCTGGATTTAAATAAGCAAATCTGTACGATTTTAAGATTGGGTTATTATGGCATCATATAAATTTATTGCATCATTGGATCTAGGGGTGTGCGATATATATCGTCTGCAATAATATCGTAATTGTTGTTTTAACGATGTGCGATTTGACATTATCGAGTATTTTGCAAAAACCATTCAAAACATCCCTACAGAGTGCACGCATACATTACGTGAAGTCTAGACTAGTGCGTGTGCGCATTTAG